TTGCTGAAGACCTATTCTACCCCGGATCTTCACGGGTCGCTAGGGTAAGAACATCTGTTGACTGGACGAGGGTCACCACCACTTGATGGATGAGGTCCAAATAAACATATCAGTGCCTCAGTTCTATAAGTCAGCACTGATTGGTGTGGGAATTCCACATCAACAATAAATGTCACTGTTCCGACTTCCCATGTTGGGATTTTGCTGATTAAACAGTCGGTTGAGAAAGTCTTAGTGTTGATTTGATTTTTGTACACTCGACCAATGCTTCCAACTGCTCTTCAATAGTAAGTCTGATAACTTTATTAGAGTCTTTCAGTATGACAACCACGACCCCATCCCCGACCCATGTCTTGAATATCTTCTGATCTTTAACCAGTTTTCGAGCACAGCTGCTGATCGTGTTTTTGTAAGGTCATGGTTAATATAGATCTTCTTACTTTTGAGGGCTAACCTCAGTGACAAAAATTCTCGCTTCTTTAGAATGAAAGGAACTTGACTTGGATTGGTCTTTGGTTTGTCAGGTGAGTATTTGCCAGGTTCACCACACCTGTGTGTGCGCTAAGTATCATAGAGTATTACATCAGAACCTATCTCTTTCGCGATGTCTGGTGGAAGTGAATCCGTATTTTCACCTTCATGTTCAGCAATTCCAAAGATCCTGATATTATTTCTGCGACCATGTTGGAATAAATTATCTATTCCATTTGATTTCTAGGCCAGTTGTTTGGAAAGACATTCAATGCTAGCTTCAGTCTCATAATCAGCCATGCGCTCAAAGAACTTGTCCAACCGTGAATTCAGTTCACTGCCCTGTTCGCCTGTATAGCTAGTAAACAAGGAATTTGCAACCGACTTTTTGTAACACTTCTTGGGTTTGTAAGGCCTGGATTAACTGGGACACGATATCACTGCCAGACATTTTGCTTGGTTTCCTAGGTGACATGTTTATTTCGGAGTCCGTTAATGAAAACACGTCACTGTCGGATAGTGATCTTGTTCTTTGATATGTTTCAATTTTCGATTGGGAGATTCAGACGAGCTAGTGCGTTACCGTTTTTGAGATTGAAATAGGGGTGTTGGACATCGAGATTTGTCATCGAGAAGGTCATATAAATAACTTCATCCACGATTTTCGTGTGAGTAATCTATCAAGTCATTTGTAGGATGTTTGTACTTGCTATCTAGAGTAATCTATCAAGTCATTTGTAGGATGTTTGTACTTGCTAGCTATTTTCCTTCAATTCGATGTTGTATGGAAGGTTAACCGATATCTTTTTATCATGTGGTGAGAGCTTGAAAAGTACGTCTTATCCTAACCAGCCTTGACCTTGACAATGTATATTAACATAGGCTACGTTAACGTTTCATTATTGTACACTCACAGCAAGTCCAGTGGATATTGATTGTGCTCCTGTTCTTGATACGATACTTGTATCCTTCAAAGACTAAGTTACGACCACCGCGTCTGTTCGCAATCAACCGTAAGTTAAGGTGAACATTGTCCATTATGACACGAAGACGAATTCTAATCGTTAAGCTTATAAACCACAATTTAGTGATGAATTGATTAATGAAATTGTGTGACTATCATTAATGAAATTAAACTTGTTCACTTATTTCACTTGTCAGTTAATTTAAAACTCGGGTGAATTTGGTTTTAGCTTTTAGCAGTATTCCAGCAACTTCACGACGAGGTCACCAGAAACTGGTTCCCCACATTGTACCCATGTTGGGAATCGAACGCTTTAACCACAAGGCTACCCCACCGCCCTACAGAAGTTGAAATACAGATTGATTACCTAATGAAATATTTATGAAGCATTATTAAATAAGGGGGCACGGGTGGCCCAGTCGTCTAAGGCGCCGCGATTCGCTGTGCAGAGTTGCGTCCCTTTGGCACGCTAGAAACCTTTGATAGTAAGTTCGAATCCCGGTTCGCCCCGATTAAGTTTCTAGGTTTGTCAGCACCGAAGTAGTAAACGTCTGAGACTCGCATCACTCCCACATTAAGCTGACACGCCGTGATATAACTGTAATACTGTTAAAAGCGGCGTCAAACCCAACTCACTCACTCACTCATTCATTAATAAATAAGGGGTATATTCACTTCTCCAGGAGTATGTTTGAAAGGATATCTGTTATTTGTTTGGTGGGGTGTCACCAGAAATGGGCTTCACACATTGTACCCATGTCGGGAATCGAACCCGGGTCTTCGACGTGACCAGCGAACGCTTTAACCACTAGGCTACCCGACCGCCCCTATGTGGCAAGAACGTTTCAGAGCATGACAGAAGGAATCGAGTTTGGAGGCGTACTAATTAGCGTTTTATGGACATGCTTATCGAGCCAGGCTTGTGAAACAAATCCTCCAAACAGCAAATCTTCCTTGTCATGCCATGGGCAGTGCTCAGTCCTGACCTTTGCCCATTGAACTTACCATTGGCGTCATTGGCTGACATTGGTCGACTCACACCAGGCATACCTCGAAGAATTCGTACATGTCTGGCCAACAGATGTGATTTTACCCGATATTAGTGACGTTGCCTGCAAACTGACATTGCGAATTTAAATCTAGACCTATTTAACGACCTTGTGCGCCACCATCTCATCACACCAACCATTAGAACCCATTAGATCTGATCGCCTACTTCCCAACAGATATGATCATATAATTACTATTTGCCAATACCATATAGATCAGAAGATATGCCTTGATGATTCGACTATCCCGTACTCTTTTTTTTCGTCATATTATATAAGCAACAAAAATGGAATATCACTGATCTGTTTTAGGGAGTAGTCTTTTTAACCATGCACAGTGTTTGTACTTTCTGTAACAGTTACTATCTGTTCACAATCTGAAAAGCTGTCACGGCAAATAAGCTTTCCTATCTTCTCTACCAATTTCCAAACATTAATAGCATCACTTGGATTATATAGATAGCGGCAGCATTCAGACACCGATACTATCATACATTACGAATAAATTAAAAATAAACCCCGCTGTCATCCAAAACGATCGACATGTGTACCTATATCACAATAGGTTATTCTAACTGTATTATTTTAAATTAATGAATTTCACTCCAAACATATCATAGGGGAATAATCGTTCATTTCTTATTTTTTATAACCTCGAAAAGAGAACTTTTCCAACGATTGCTATTAATTGTATCAATATAAACCGTCAGTGCTGTGGCTTCAGAGTTGTGTTTGTGACAGGTACAGTAGACTACGGTTATAACGAACTCAAAGGGACCACTAATTTTAGTTCGCAGTTACCGTAGTTCGTTATAAGCATATATACAGCATATATACAACAAATGTCTGGGACTAAAAATAAGTTCGTTATATCAGTCAGTTCGTTATAAGCCTGTTCGTTATAAACGTAGTTTACTGTAAGTGGGTTGGGTTTAATGCCGATTTGAACAATATTTCATATGCTGCTTAACTGAGGGGGAAATGATGCAAATATTAGATGCTCACCCTTCTAGGGAATCCCACGAACTTGTGTAGAGTCCTGCCAAACACAGTTTCATAATTGGGATTCCTAACAAGCACAACTCTGTAAGTGAGAAATCATGCAATCTCATTAAAATCAGATTTTAGTTCTCGCTACCGCTAAACAAAAATCTGAGGACATCCAACTAGGGGTCACGTCTGAACGACCTTTCATCCGACCAATCAGATCGTCGCTTACCAGATCATGAAAGTGACAGTCGGAATGTAATTTCTAATCATGCAACCTCGAAAACTTTAACACGGGGTATTCCGAACGATAGTTACGGGTTAAACGACTGAATCCATACCATCTCGACCATCAATTAGCCATTCCAGAATGTTCTTTTGTTCAGGTTTCAATTTTTTATCGAGAACTTGTCAAAATATGTTTCGAAGCGTAGTCGCCAATTTGAAATTAATGCCGTAAAGCACGAGAAAGCCGCCTTCTGACTGGCTAATGTCGACTTCTTGTCAGTCATTCCAATGGTCGGTCAAAGTTTGAGCAAGGTCGGTCTGACGTGATCCGTAATGGTATGTCCTGAGATCTTTGTTTTGCGGTAGCGAGAACTAAGGTCTGATTTTAATGAGATTGGAAATCATGAGTGAGTGAGTGAGTGAGTTGGGTTTAACGCCGCTTTTAACAGTATTGCAGCTATATCACGGCGTGTCAGCTGAATGTGGGAGGAAAGCCCGAAGTGATGCAGGTCTCTGACGTTTACCACTACGGTGAAACCCACGAGCACGGGTATGGTGCTGACAAACCTAGAAACATAATCGGGGCGAACCGGGATTCGAACCGGGATTCGAACCCACAATCATAGATTTCTGGCGTGCCAAAGGGACGCAACTCTGCACAGCGAATCGCGGCGCCAGAGACGACTGGGCCACCCGTGCCCCCTCAGGTGAGGTGAATCATCGCCGGTCGCGGAGAGTCCATGGATGGGAAACAGTGTTCGGCAGTTTGGCTCCTGAAATTTTCTAGGGCTTCGGTCCTGCACCACACTGAAGCACATGTAACACATGTGGCGTCTCCTAGGTCAAGTGACTTTATTCGAAATGCGCCTCTGTTCACCCAGCAGTAAATGGGTACCCGTAGGATGAGATGACAATATGGTTGTGAACCTTCTAGCTCCAAACGGGCAGTTTGGGTTTTAAATTCCCAGGGAGCTGAGAATGATTTTTATCATTATTATTATTCTTACGAGACTCGGTTGATTCCAGAAGTAGAATCATCTCGCCATGTTATGATTGATAATTGCTCTATGATTTTGCATAATGATCTATATTGAGGCAGTTAAAATGCTCGTTCAGAGATGGCCAGTGAATTTCGGGCTCAGGAACAGCTGTGGAGACAATGGCGTGACGTCATGATAATGGTTTAAAGACAGCGAATTGCGGCTTTTTAGCCTCCTGGGTTATCCGTGCCCCTGCCTACGATATAGCCGACTGTAACTCATTAATAATCAATACTTATCCTGGTACGTTTTTTTCCCTAGAGATGCCGTTCCGGATACCAATGTGTTGGAAGTTCAGCAATCGCCATCTCCTCCCCATCACCGCCCTCAACCTCTGCGTCCTCATCACCATCTTCTTCATCTTTGACGTCATCCCCGTCTCTAGAAGAAAACTCCGTGAGATCAGAACGACCGCGCCCTACCCACGAACATCTTCCAGCCCCTTGGTCGAGTACCACGACACCCCTAACTGCAGCGATGCCTGTCCTGTTCCGTCTGTACCCCCATGTCCGAGGGACGCCGTCAACCCCTTGTATGTGTTTTACGGTCACCAGGAACTACTTTCGTCACCGGAAGTGTTTACACCGAGGCGTACTATCATTACGCCGCTTAACTACCCTTTCTCCATAAAAAGCAACGTCTGTCCTGATAAAAGTAGTCCTCTGTTGTTGATAATGGTTCTTTCTGTGCATGATCACATAAGGGAACGAAATAGCGTAAGAAACACTTGGGGGAGCGTCGCCCGTGATAAACCATGGCCTAAGAGAAAGTTATTCGGCGAAACAAAATTGGTGTTTCTTCTTGGTACTCATGCGAATGAGAAATTAAATGAGAAAGTTCGCGCAGAAGCGGAAGTGCACGGCGACATTGTAATGGCGAACTTCACAGAATCGTACTACAATTTGACGTTGAAGGTACTGACTGGGTACAAATGGATGAAGATGTTTTGTCCGGGTGCACAGTTCGTGATGAAGATTGATGAGGACTCGTTCCCTGATATTCCCAGAATAACGAACCTTCTAGTTTCCATTGAAATGCAGAACACGATATACGGACCGCTAGCCTTCTCTGAATCGGTTGATAGAAAGATCCCAAAAGCCAAAGTGTCTCAAGAAGCTTATCCAGCTAAATGGTACCCGCCTCACGTAAAGGGTAACATGTACGTGATGCCAAACGCTCTGGCTTTGAATATCCTCAATGTGTCTGTGTATTTCCCATACGTTAACATTGAAGATGCTTTCATCACGGGAATACTCGGCAAGCATTTCAACGCCCATCATTTGAACATACCTGCTTCGCTTTATAATAGACACCCCAAGGGAGAGCTTAACGTGTGTAGCTTTGTGTTTGAGAAGACAATACTAGCACAGCAAATATCCCCGGAATTGGCCGAGAGATTCTGGAGACGAATTGTTAGTCCTGAACTTTGTGGAATTCTTTGAAATAACTGGACCCGAATGAAACGATATTTTTATACACACATTTATACGAATGAAATGTGGAAGTACAGGATCCCTTCCCAACAAGTCCAACCGAGAACATCGGATGTTCGACAGGCACAACAGTCACGACTTCTCTGTGGACCTAATAAACATGCATGACTTGAAAAAAGAGGACTAGAATATGTTCTGTGGTGTTCTGGTTATCATGGCAGCACAAACATAAAACAGAGAATGTAATCATGAACACTTTATATTTTATCTAGAAATAAAGAAGAGAAATTTGTTTTGTTTAACAAGACATATTCTTTCAATGTAATTGAAATGCTTTCTTAATGTCAATGGAAATACAGGTATTATGATCTATTTTACCCTTCCTTGGTTGCGTGATGATCTAAGGTTGACACTGCAGAAAAGGTACACGCTCCCGGTGACAATACGTTATGTCTGTCCGTCCTACATGTTGTTGTTTGTTTGTTTGTTTTTGGTTTTTTTTATTGTTAAACGCCGCACTTAGCAATATTCCAGCTATATGACGGCGGTCTGTAAATAATCGAGTTTGGACCGGTCAATCCAGTGATTGACATCATGAGCATCGATCAGCGCAATTGGGGTCGATGACAAACATCAACCAAGTCAGCGAGCCTGACCACCCGATCCCGTTAGTCGCCTCTTACGACAAGCATAGTCGCCTTTTACGGAAAGCATGGGTTGCTGAAGACATATTCTAACCGGATCTTCACGCGTCCGTCCTAATTGTACATACATAAACGTAATCCATCACTTGTACGTAACGTCTATAAATATACATTACCTGTATAATGACCCACATCACCCTCAAATAACCTCATATTATATATGTTTTTTGTTCTGCATTTTCTGCAATGCTGGATTTTTAAGGTAATTGTCCATAAGATATTTCTTTTCGTATACACAATAAAAATGTGTTCAGGTATAAAACAGGTGCTCGACATATTTTGTTTTAAAGTTTTAGGATTATGCTTTGGCCAAAAAAGGAACATTATCTTTTCAGTTGTACTTTTGCTGCAATACCGGATTTGAAGATTATTGTCCATGAGATGTTTCTATATGTATACACTGTAAAAATGTATTTGGGTATATAACAGGTGCTCAACACATCTTGTTTTAAAGTTTTGGGGATTATGTTTTGGTCATGGGGAAACAAAGGATTTGTGAGTTTTATCTAAACATCTTTAGGAACTGTAACACATACAATGGACTAGCACCTCACTACATACCCACAACATTCCCAAAATCTAAGCATGTTTAGAACAAAAGGTGTGGAGTAAAGTAAATGGGGGCATTCTTTAGTTATCGCCGCCCCTTCGAGAGTAAAGACGAGGTACGTACGTTCGCATATACTGTCGTAACAATCATTATATCATATCACGAGTCTTGAGGACATTCCAGCATCGGACAATGAAATCCATTATCAGTCAGAACAGAAATTGCACATAATTCTTTTTGTGATCAATCTCATCTTTATGTTTTGATAATGTCGCCCAATCAACGGACATTTAGGTATGCATCACTTTAATTCTCTGAGTGAGTGAGTGAGTGAGTATGGTTTTACGCCGCTTTTAGCAATATTCCAGCAATATCACGGCGGGGGACACCAGAAATGGGCTTCACACATTGTACCCATGTCGGGAATCGAACCCGGGTCTTCGGCGTGACGAGCGAACGCTTTAACCACTAGGCTACCCGACCGCCCCTTTAATTCTCTGAATAGTGTATCGTTGGATAAGGACAGCGACACGCAAGAGTCACAGAATGTAGAGATGTACTTGTTTGAACTGACATTTTTAAATTTGGTGTTTCAATTCACAATTTTGTCACGGCAGTGTGCAATGTCTTCAGCTACATCTGCATGAACAAGTATTATTTTAATTCAAACCAAGAGAATATTCACATTATTTTTAAAAAAATAATATGAAATTAACTTTTTCAAAGATATTCTTAGACAACGCTTTCCTCGACAAAATCCCATACCTTAACACAGACTTACAACAGTCTTAGCGCTAAGATTGCTTTGTGGAAAGGAACACAGTGATGATTGTTAGTGGCAGCAGTTATGAGGGGCTTAGCACTCTACCCGACTGTAGATGTAGTGAGTGTTAGCGTCTTCTGTCTTGTTATTCAGTATGGAATGACAAAGTCGATGGTTGAGAGGAAACTGGTCTTGGCAGCGCCGGCGTTATGGCAGTGGAAGAATTGGCGTCTACCTTAAATGTGCTTTTGATTGAATGTGATTATGGGCCATTTCAGAGAAGCTACAGATTTATGGTCATTGCGGAAATATATACATATCTACTTACTTAAATATATATAAGCAAGTATATTTGCAAAGATGTTTCAGACCGAGGACAGGAAAAACGAAGCGACAAAAAACATTTCCATAAGACATCTGTAATAAAAACAGAGTGTATTGTACGATTGCGGCTAAATCATAAGCACCTGTTAATGAATCACTATCAAAAGGCGATGACACCAGGTGTTCGCGAAAAGGTGAGCGTATCCTGCGTATGACAGCGGTCACAAACACATGCAAAGGCGAGTCAATTGTTCACCTAAAATACGGGAACATATGGCACAAGTCAAAACAGGGAATTACATAATTTTCGTAACTGATGCGCCACATTTGGGAATGTCCTCCACATGTCTATCATAAAACTGTTTACACGCTTTACTGAGGCCTTGAATGTTGAAACCGTGGTCACACAACTTTTGAGCAAGTGTCGTGTGACGCTCCTTGAAATCTCGGTAGACCGAGCATGGTCGATTGTACATCAAAAGGTTTCAAATGCAGACACGAACGGTTGGTGCTGCAAGAAAAGTGCTCGACATGAAGGGGAGGTTGACGTTGAAGTCATTGCTCCTGTCATAGAGTGTTGTGAAGTTGTTGTTTTTGTCTCTATGAATCTTTGTGCATAGATCTAAATATGAAACAGGTAAGGCGGTTTCACTGGTCTCTTTTATTTCTTGTTCAGGTGGGTAAAAATGAAGGACTGAATTGGTTATTTGACCGTTATTGAACGATATCAGATCATCTATACACGTAAAGCTTAAGTCAAAGAAAGTCCCTTGTTTTGAGTTTGCAAATTCGAGCAGAAATTCCGATTCATTTTGCATAAAGAAACAAATCGCAGATTGTGCCCATGGAGATCCCTACTTCTAAATGTCTTATCCCCACCTTTCTAAATGTCTTATCCCCACCTTTCTAAATGTCTTATCCCCACATTTCTAAATGTCTTATCCCCACCTTTCTAATTGTCTTATCCCCACATTTCTAATTGTCTTATCCCCACATTTCTAAATGTCTTATCCCCACATTTCTAAATGTCTTATCCCCACATTTCTAACTATCTTGTCCCCACATTTCTAAATGTCTTATCCCCACATTTCTAAATGTCTTATCCCCACATTTCTAAATGTCTTATCCCCACCTTTCTAATTGTCTTGTCCCAACCTTTCTAAATGTCTTATCCCCACCTTTCTAAATGCCTTATCCCCACCTTTCTAAATGTCTTATCCCCACATTTCTAAATGTCTTATCCCCACATTTCTAAATGTCTTATCCCCACATTTCTAACTATCTTGTCCCCACATTTCTAACTATCTTGTCCCCACATTTCTAAATGTCTTATCCCCATATTTCTAAATGTCTTAACCCCATATTTCTAAATGTCTTATCCCCACATTTCTAAATGTCTAATCCCCACATTTCTAAATGTCTTATCCCCACCTTTCTAATTGTCTTATCCCAACCTTTCTAAATGCCTTATCCCCATATTTCTTAATGTCTGATCCCCACATTTCTAAATGTCTTATCCCCACCTTTCTAATTGTCTTATCCCCACATTTCTAAATGTCTTATCCCCACCTTTCTAATTGTCTTATTCCCACCTTTCTAAATGCCTTATCCCCACATTTCTAAATGTCTTATCCCCACCTTTCTAATTGTCTTATCCCCACATTTCTAAATGTCTTATCCCCACATTTCTAATTGTCGTATCCCCACATTTCTAATTGTCTTATCCCCACATTTCTAAATGTCTTATCCCCACATTTCTAACTATCTTGTCCCCACATTTCTAAATGTCTTATCCCCACATTTCTAAATGTCTTATCCCCACCTTTCTAATTGTCTTATCCCCACCTTTCTAATTGTCTTATCCCCACATTCCTAAATGTCTAATCCCCACATTTCTAAATGTCTAATCCCCACATTTCTAACTATCTTGTCCCCACATTTCTAACTATCTTGTCCCCACATTTCTAACTATCTTGTCCCCACATTTCTAACTATCTTGTCCCCACATTTCTAACTATCTTGTCCCCACATTTCTAAATGTCTTATCCCCATATTTCTAAATGTCTTAACCCCATATTTCTAAATGTCTTATCCCCAATTTTCCAAATGTCTTATCCCCATATTTCTAAATGTCTTATCCCCGTATTTCTAAATGTCTTAACCCCACCTTTCTAATTGTCTTATCCCCCCATTTATAAATGTCTTATCCCCACCTTTCACATCACATTTCATTCACATATGGAGACTAGAATACTAATAATCCGTATGTGTCACACACACTAAAACATATACGCTTACAAGTATATAAACAATGTTACATGAATGTTTCTGAGCAGTAAGTGGGAGTATACTATGATCTTTCTTGAAATACTATGGAACGGTTACATAGATACACAAAAAGTGTGTATTTGACATACACAAGGCGATTGAAATCTGCTTCGTTATTTTTATTTAATTGCTAGGTTTCTCCTGACAGGAGCTTTTGTTTTTTAAATCAATCTTGAATCTTTTTATAAAAACGAATATTAATATGGCGGAGACTGTTTTCAAATTGCATCTCTTCGTGCGAGTATCATTCGCACTGCAGAGTTGGTTCCTTAAGATTGCCAAATCCCAATACTCACTGGTCAGCAGTTGCCCCGATTCTGCTTCTTGGTATGTCAGCACCATACTTTTTCATTTCTTCCACAGGCTCGCTGGCTTGGTTGATGCATGTCATTGTATCCCAATTGCGAAGATCGATGCTCATGATGTCAGTCACTCGATTGTCTGGTCCAGACTCGATTATTTACAGACCGTATAACTGGAATATTGCTGAGTGTGTCGTTAAACAGAAACAAACAAAACATGTAACTACAGAATGGTATAACAAATGTATGAAGAGACTGTAAAATACTTGAAGTGTGGGGAGTTTATGAAGTGCACGTAAAATATTGACGGGCTGAACCCC